AGTTTAATTTTTTTGGGGGGGTACCAGGAATCGAACTCAGGACCTTGTGCTTGCCAGGCAGGCACTTGTGCCACTGAGCTATGTCCCTGGCCCTGTCTCAGTTTAATTAATTTCCATTCTGATCTTTATAATTTTTTTTCTTTCCATTAGTTTCAGTTTGGATTGTTGTCTAAGACGTTGAAATACATCATTAGTTTTTTTAAGTCCTTTGCTCCATCAGTTGGTGTCTTCTGTTCATCATCCCTCTTTTCTAAGAGTTATGGTGACCCGGCCCCATGGGGGAAGTAGGCCCAGGAAGGACAGAAATGGGGCCTCAAGGAAGTGAAGTGTGAATGTGGAGGTGGGGGAGTAAGTAAGAAAGGGTGAAGGAAACGTGCTGAGAGAGATAGATTTCCACTCATCACAGAGTTAACAACAGAGCAGCGAAACAAACTCAATTTCTCCTCCAAACACAGATCACTTCTCGTGATCCCCAAATGTGTGGGAATTTCTCCCCACGGCAAGCAGGCAAGCAGTTCTGCAGTGGGCACCAGCTGGGTTTCTTCAGCTCTGATGTTATTCACCTGTACAGTTACAAGCCAAAAGCTATGGATAAAAGTGTATACATATCACAGCATTACGTAACCATGTTATTTTTCCCATCTTCAAACCAAAACAGACCCTTCTGTAACCCCAGATTTACTTCTAGATTTTTCTCTGTCCCCTCTCCTTTTATTATAAATATGTCTCCAGAGTTTGTTTTTTGTTGTTTTTGTTTAGTTTTTTTGCCTCTTGAACTATTTAAAGTTTAAGCTGAGCTTTAATTACCACCCAAAGGCTGATGTTTCCAAAGTCTGCAGTGGCGTCTCCTTGACAAATCCAAGCAGATGACTATCTTGAGAACTCCTCTCATTTACCTTCTTTTTGTTCCTTCTTGCTCAATTTTAAGTTTCTTCTCATCTCCCCAACCTCTGAATGTTGAAGTATTTCAGGGATCGTTCCTGAACCATCTCCTGACTTTCCTTTTCCTGTGAAGCTAGGCTGTTACTTCAGTCCTGGTACTGAGGAGTTATTAAGTCTGGCACTCAATGATTTGCTCCTCAGGTGTCTGCAGTGGTGTCTTTGTCTAATTGCTGATCTCATTTCGCACCGTAGTGCCAGCTGACTCGCTTTTTCGTATGTAACATATACAAAATTGAACTCCTAATTTTTCCAAAAAGTTTTGTTTCATTTTTTTCCTGTTCCAAAAATAATAGCTCCGTCATTACAGTTACTTATGGTGTAACTTTGGAGTCATCCACACATTTTCTCTTCTGTAACCCATGACATGGTATCCATCAACAATTTCGGCCGTTGTACCTTAATTTCAACCTGAAGATTTGCAGTAGTCTCTGTGCCTTTACCTTTGGCTCCTGTAGTTAACTCTGAGCCAGCGTGATCCTTTTTGAAATATAAGTCAGATCATTTTATTTCTCTTTCCAAAACTTCCCTGAAGTTTTCTTTTTTTTTTTTTCTGTCTGCCTCAAAGTGAAAGACAAAATTCCTTCATGGTAGGACCTCCACTGCCTCTCTGACCTCAGCCACTCCTCTTTCCTCACTGGCCTCGCTGTTTCTATAGCATACAAGACACACCTGTGCATTCGGGCCTTGGAAGTAAGCCAGGGCCTATGGTGCTCAGAGAGAAGAACGATAATGAGAACGGGGTAATTGGGCTCACAGACTCCTGGGAATCATCGGAGCATCTCATGAGGAG